TCTTTATGATTTGTGCAATCCACATTGATGTATTGGGGGACAGTCATGTGGATTCCTTTATGAGAAGTTAGGAGGTGGTAGGGAAACTATGACCATGCGAGGCTTCAATAATTTTATAGAAGAGCACGAGTTGTGCGATCTTCCACTCAATAACGCTCAATTCAGCTGGTTGTAGAAAGATGAGGTAGATGTTCTTCGTGTCTTAGTTGCTTACTGATTTTCACTTGTTAGGAGGACTTTTTTTTTTCGAAATAGATCTTGTTGGGAGGACACATTTCCTGATTTTATACAGGAGGTTTTACCGAGGTCTTTATCAGATCATTTTCCTATCATGTTGAACTCCCAACATGTCCATTGGGGCCCTATTCTATTCTGGTTTGAGAACCTGTGAATCCAACATCCTGATTTTGTGGATAGAATGAAGAAATGGTGGCATGAAGACATGGTTAGGGGTTTTGCGGGGTATAAATTTGTGCAGGAATTGAAACTCCTTGAGAAAAAGATGAGGAAATGGAATAAAGAAATTTTTGGAGATACAAGGAAGATGAAGATGGTTATTCTCGAGGAACTAAAGGGCTTGGAACCTTAGCATCAGAAAATAACATATCCCAGAACCATTTAAATCTAATTTTCAAACTCAGGAAGGAACTTGAGGAGGTTTTGTTCAAAAAAGAGCAAATTTTGAGGCAAAAGCTAGATTGAAATGCGTGAAAGAGGGTGATGCAAACACTAGGTTCCACTGAGGATGAGGTATCTACACCTTTCATTCAAGGAGTTGATTGGCGGCTAGAATTGGATTTATTGTTTGGGGGGGGGGTTGTGACGGAGATAAGGAGTTGATAAGGCGTGAAATCTGTAACTTGTATACTGAGGATGAGGTATCTAGACCTTTCATTCAAGGAATTGATTGGCAGCCCATTTGTCGTGCCAAAGCTGTGCATATTGAAAGATAGTTTAAGTTAGAGAAGATTCTAAAGGCTATTTGGACTATGTCCACTCAGAAATTCCCTGGTCCAGATGATTTTACCGGAGTTTTATTCCATCATATAGCGCATTATTAAGAATGATTTGATAGAGGTATTTCAAGAATTTCTATTTAAATAAAAAGATATGAGGAAGTATGAAGTCAACCTTCATAACCCTAATATCTATTGATGACTAACGTCTATAACAGTACCTTGTTTGTTTTTGGTTAAGGCTCATTTAGCATGGAATTTCCATGTATTTTTTTGTTTGTAATAGAATGAATTGCAATTCCTTTGAGTTAGAGGGAAATTTTCAGTAGCTTTTGTCAGGTGAAATTGCATGAGCAGCTGGAGTGGGTGAAAATATTGTGCCTAGTTTTATCTAATTCAGTGAGTTCAATGAAAGTAAATCTAGGTTACTTCTGGAATTAGGATTGGTTTTACCCGTCTTGTAATTTATCTGCTTCAACCAGAGATTCTCTCTCTTCCTCAGATGCACTGTTGAAGAGATTTCATAATTGTGTTCATACATTTTCTTGAGATTTTTTCTTTTTCTTCCCCTCTCTTATTTCCAGGTACGTTCAAGTTAACACTGCAGTTCACAGAGGATTATCCAAATAAACCTCCTACAGTACGCTTCGTCTCAAGGATGTTTCATCCAAATAGTATGTGAAATATCTTGTTTCCAATTTTTTTGTTGATGTTCTCTGATAAATTACTTCCTATTGTTACTATTGATTTCTTAATTGTTCATCTTTTCTGTCTGTCCTATATTAATATCTTGTCTTAAAATGGTGATTGATTGCAGCTTCTAACTATATATAATTGCATTTGATTAGTCTACGCAGATGGAAGTATTTGTTTGGATATCTTGCAAAATCAGTGGAGTCCTATATACGATGTTGCGGCTATTCTTACCTCTATTCAGGTACAACATTTTTTGAATTTTTCTTGGGCTGAAAAATTCTATTTCTTGTTAATAATAATTTTCCTTGTGGTGATTTGATACCACAAGCTTTGTGACTAAGTGCTTGCAAGCAATATCTTTTTTCTTTGTTGATGGCTCCTTTTGTTGATCAGTTCCCTCAATGTTTTTATTGATCCAAGTTGGATCACTTTTGCAGATGAAGAGAAAGCTGGAATAAATTTTGTTCAGCTATATCTCATGATATGACATGATTACCACTTTTCTTGAAGAAAGTTGCTATTTGTCTTTCTCTCTTTCATCTGCAAAGAAATTTTCCTTAAACTTAGGCGATTAGATATGGTTCTCTCTGATGGATAGTAGTCAGCAGCTTTTTTGTCTATTCAGGTTCAAACTTTGACAGTTGCCACATTAGAGTTGTATTATTGGTTATTCTTTTAAGGATTATCATCAGGTACATTTGAGCCTTATGCACTTTGGACTAAAAGATACGTTAAGGACCATTTATCCGAAAGGACGGAATTTTCCTCGTTTCTCATGATTTTGGGTACACAAACTTGTTTATCTGTTGGATTGAATATAGGTGTCCAAGTACTATTCAATCCCAAACAGTGACAAACTCCCAAATTTATTAGGATCTCAAAACCCAAGGAGTGGATATCTTCCACCATAAGCTGATGTCCTTGCTTGATTAGCTAATTGTAGAACAGCTAAAAGGCAACTTTCTAGTGTTTAATTTCAAAGATAAGTTTCTAAAATTTAGTGCTTGAAGCTCTTAATTTTTAGTGGCCATTTTATATATGATTCTTTTTGCATTGAAGTGTCACAGCCGGAAGATACTTTTGGTAAAATCTTGAGATTCCCATAGGAATTCCCAAGCAAGCACAAGTTTTTGGGTAGCAGGAATCCTACTGACGAAATGAAAATTTGTTGTTTGAGAGTGATAGGGTATAATAGGCCTTATCAAACATGTTATCCCATTTTTAACTTCGATTTCTTCGGGAAGCAGATGATTGTTCATCTGCTTCTCACGTTCCGTGCATAGTCGGGAACAATAATAGGAGCATTACAATAGTGCTATTTCATTCTATTCTTCTGCGTATTTCAGGGAAATAGGTACTGGGCTATTAAAACTGTCCGAGTGCTGAGCATCTCTCACTTATCCTTTATCACTTATTCTAGCCCTCTACAATGAAAAAGGAAAAGAAATGAAAATTTTCTCTTAGTTCCTTTCTGATTATCTCCCTCATGTGTGCTCTTTTACTTTCCTCTTGTATTTCAAATAATTAGCAAAAATTATAACCAAAATTGCAAAACAAAAGCAGTAATAATTGGCTTCACTGGAAGTCCTAACCATAGCTGGCTACTGGATATTGCCAGCAACTTTGAATTGGGAAGTTGCTGATTGCTCCAGGCACATTATTTTGGTGACTTAATTTTTCTAGAAACAGCCACAATACCCGTTCAACATCACACAGCCGTCACCATCCTAGATCTCCACCATTCTGGCCATGATGTCAAGCACTGAACTGCAATCTTCAATCCTGAATTTTGACGAGTTCAACTTCAGAAAGTTGGCCCCTTCTGATTGGGAGGCAGTGTGTATTGATTTGCCTATTAAGAAATTGGTTTTAAGCGTAAAAAAATCCTAGTACTATCGAAGTCCTAATCTTGCCCATATTATTACAACAAATGTAGATTGCCAGAAATGAATTCCTAATCTCTTTAGAAATCTAAGTCACCAAACTTCTTCGTTGTCATGGTTGCAAGCTGTTGCTTAAGCTTGTCATGGATGATGGTTTGCAGAGCTCATCAAGTTAAAGTTCCATATGATTGTGTGGGTTTAGCCGTTTGTGAAAAGTTATGACCTAATACATGGCCAGCATATGCCTGAATCAACATTTTCTAAAAAGGGATGCCTCTATCATATTTCTTTACAATTTTGTTGCTCACTGTAGATTGTAACATCTCGAGGACATCTTTCCCTCCTTTCATTGTACTTCTCTCCTCTTGTCTTAATAGATCTTCTTTTGTTAAGAAAAAAAAAAAAGAAAACATATATGGCTCAAATTGCTTCTTAAATGTTTAGAAGTCACGTGTCTGGCATTTTCTAAATTTGTACTTAAGCTGGCAAGTTTAATTTGGAAAGCCTCATTATCGAAGGAGGCTACTGTCTGTACCTGTTATTTGTTTAATTCAACCTTGGCCCTGTTTGATCTTTTTATCTTCTTTTGATGTCTTACGTTCAAGCAGCTTCATGCTTTTGAAGACTTCTCTGCTGGAGTTGTTTAGGGTTTTGTTTCTATGATGATTTTCTAATTTTTATGGTTCCTGTTGGTTGGACTTTTACTTTTTCATCTGAGGTTTTAACCTGCTAATAATAATATGTCTGCTGTGTTTTCTTAGTCTCTGCTTTGTGATCCAAACCCAAATTCCCCTGCAAACTCTGAAGCAGCCCGCATGTTTAGTGAGAATAAGCGTGAATACAACAGGAGAGTGCGTGAAATAGTGGAACAGAGCTGGACAGCTGACTGAGCCAATAAAACCACTAGCAACCTGTGCCATCCCAGAAAAATAAAGAGAGGTAGCTGTGGTGGCAAGCTTGAAAGTGAGACTAGTCCCAGAAAATCTTGTTAGATGGTGTATTTTCATGATTGGGGCTTGGTGTGCATTTTCTTAGAAGATTGTGAAATGATTTTATTTCTGCCTAAAAGACAGCTCTGCTTAAACTTTGTCAGTTAAATGCTCTCTTTCACAACATCTGTAGTGTTGGCTTCTGTTTGGGCATTTGTATAGAAGTACTATATAGGAGTGATGTTCAGGACAAATATTTGAGAACGGATAACACTGTCTCTTGGAGAAGAGTTTGGGAGGAGCTCATCCCTTGTAATATACTCGTGTGGAAAGTTGAACATTTTGAATGAATGCCTGGATATCCTTTTCTTGATGTCAAGTTGGAAGTTTCTCCCCTATTGTCAAGCCTCTTGACTTCCTGAATGTTTCTTGCTTCTGTATATTAATTTACCCTTCCTAGTTGCAGCCGGATGATGCGATTTGGTAGGCTTTGGCCAAAACTTTCCTTGAGCCTTGGAACAAAGGCTTTATGGCTTTAGTTAAGCAAAGAGAAGGGGATGGTTGGTAGTAAATTTGTCACTTTAAAGGTTCGTCAACTGCATGACTAATTGTAAACTAAGTTTAATTTGTCACATGTTACCAAAGTGTATAAAGATGCGCTAGTTTAGATCGCTGGTACCTGTTTAAGAGACTGAATCCTATGAAATACTATTGCATGGTCTTATTGTGATGGTGATTTGGCAAATGGAGAAATAATGGAGATAGAGATTTGGCTAGTTTTTATTTTGCAAATGTTTATGATGCATAGCTTGAAGTACAGAGATAAATTTGAGTTTGTGATTATTTAAATTCTTATACATAGTTAAAATGCTATTGCCACAAATTTTCTTCTTTACCTGCACATAGCTTCTTTTTCTTCTCTAACTTCTATGTCTAAAGGTTATGTAATAAAATTCTAATTTAGGGTATAGAAAACTTATATTTAGTTTTCAAAAAAATTACATTTAGTTTAATAGTTTTTGTAGTTCGATTTATATGCAAAGCTGCTTCGAACATGACAATTTAATTTTAATAAATTATAAATGAAATGGAAATAATAAACTTTAGATTTCATCAAAATTAATAATTTTAAAAATATATCATCATAACTTAGAGACATATATATTTTGAAATATAAATAGAACTATAAAAATCTATTAAACTAAAAATGCATTACAGAAAGAAAAATTTAATTTAATAGAATATTTTATAAATTCATAATCTGGTCCAAAAAATAATTTTCATAAATTTACATGTTCCAAAAATAAAATTTTAGTTTTTTTTTTAATAAATTCATATATTTATTAATTAAAAAAATATATATTATTTATAACATTATAGAATTAATATTAAAACGGAAATACACACGAAATTATAGTTCAACTTGAACTTACACTTCTTGTTGAAAAAGTTATAAACCGATCATTTAAATAAGATTTTTTTAAAAAAAATATTATAATTTTTATTATTCATTTATTCTAATAAACAAGAATCTTCTCAAGTAACTTTGAGTGTTGGTAACACTAGTATATATGTAGCAACCTTCTTGAGACTTTTTGCACTAAAATCACCAAAATGACTAAAATAATTTTATCTTAACAAACTAAAATTGGTGTTTGAAATTTTTAGCTTAATGCCCATCCCTAAAATATAAATAATTATTTAATATGAGTCTAAGATAATTTAGATTATTATTTCATAAAATTTATGAAGCTATTCTATAATTTCGTATAAATTATTAAGTTCTTTTGTAATTGTAGAAATAATAATTCTATATTTATAAGTTAATTGTTAGAGTTTAACTAAAAGATTATATGAATCCTTGAAAAAGAAGAAAAAGAAGAAAAGAGTGCTTGCGACAAAAATGTAAGTTTTATAAGCCCTAAATTAGAACTTTATTACATGAAATTTAGACATAGAAGGTAAAGAAAAATGAACTTATGTGCACGCATAGATGAAAATCTGTGGCAATAGCATTTTAACTATGTATAAGAATTTAAACAATCACAAATCTAAATTTATCTTTGTGCTTCAAGCTATACATTATAAATATTTGCAACATGAAAACTAACTAAATATCCGTCGTCATTCATTCTCCATTTGTGAAAATACTAACTATAAAATCACTATCTCATGAGATCATGCAATAGTGTTTATAGGATTCAGTCTTTTAAACAGATATCAATTATCTAAACTGACATATTTTCACATTTCTAACGAATAATCTGCCCTCAAATTTTAGTAATATGTAATAAATTAACCTAATTTACAATTAGTTATATAATTAACGAAGATTTAAACTAGAAAATTTCGTGCCTGAGTCCAAATGTACTTATGATTCAAGATAAGTGGATGTTATGGCATGTAGCAATAGTATGTTTTGACACCTATTTTTTAGAAAATAATGATAGTTTTATAAAATATTGTACAATGCAATGATTGGACTCTACTGTGTAATATAGCATCTATGAGATCTAGGTATATTATACTTGTTATATGATTTAGTACAGATATTAATGCACTGTACTTACTTTGTGATCTGATACAAGTGTGTAGTGTTCTATGTTTGCTGTGTGCTATGATACATGATGGTTTTTTATATGATTTTGGAACATGGGATAAATATGTTTCACTTATGTATGTGATGATATGATATATTATATGTATTTAAACGTGCCTTACAATACCGATTTATTAGGATAGTGTATCTCATTCCTCTATCATTTTTCACATAAGGAGAATTCCACTGCATAATAGAAAGTGATAGGGAAGAAAAATTGTGAAGTTAGTATTAAGAATCGATACTACTATACTGTTGTATTTGGTGATATATGAACAAAAGTTTTATACTCTCGTATTGTACTGTATCTTATATACATTATTCAATAAATATAACATTTGTAACCACTTTGTATTTTAATAAAAATTAAGTTTTATTATTTAATTGTAAATATAAGTGTGCTCTGGACACACTCTATAAGAGAGGGATGACCGCTAAAGGTGGTACAAGAATCAAGTTTCGATTCTAGAACCTCTGGGTTATGGGCCCATCACGCTTCCCCTTCTCTTTGCTTAACTAAAGCCGGAAAGCCTTTGTTCCAAGGCTCAAGGAAAGCTTTGGCCGAAGCCTACCAACTCGCATCATTCGGCTGCAACTAGGAAGGGTAAATTAATTTACAGAGGCAAAAAACATTCAGGAAGTCAAAGAAGCTTGACAATAAGCGAGAAACTTCCAACTTGACATCAAGAAAAGGATATCCAGGCATTCATTCAAAATGTTCAACTTTCCACATGAGTATATTACAAGGGATGAGCTCCTCCCAAACTGTAGCGCCCGGACCGAGAAAAAAAAAAAAGCCACGTCGGCAGCCACGTCAGCAGGCTCGGTCAGCAGTCCCGGCCAACCGGGGCCTGCCACGTGGCAAGACCACGTCGCTCCTGAACGAGCCACGTTGGCGATCCGCGTGGGCGCGATCGGACGGCCCAGATCAATCGCGCGATCGGACGGCCCATATTTAATCAAAAACGGACGGCCCAGATTAAAACAAAATGGACGGCTGAGATCAAAGGGCAAGGGGTTATAAATAGAACCCCCACACCAGACCACAAACCCTAGCCGCCTGCCGCTCGCCGGAGAAGACGAACCAGAGGCCGACCGCCGCCACCCGCCGCCGCACCGGGGAAATTTCCGACCGCCGATCGAGGTAAATTTCATACCCCCGACTCGTTTTTCCACGCTGATTCCTCCTATGGTCAAATCGAAGCTAAAATCCCGGCCAAA